TTGCCTTTGGGGTCTCCCACACCACCCCCCCGAAGACCTTCATTTCCCGGAGTCTGAGAGACACTTCTCCCCCTTTCTAGACCAGCACTGCCACCCCCAGATCCATCCATCTCTCCTTCCCTCCCTCCATCAGATCCTGCTTTCAGCAAGAAAGGATCTGAGAGACTGACTCCTACTCAAACCATAATGATGAATAATGGCTTAATGTGGATGTTTACAGGGGACAGCAATGCTGCTTTCGTGGAGGAGTTTCAGGCACTGAGAAGCATGTTTGGGGCTGAGGGGCTCAGTCCCCACTTATCCTCTCCCTAAGCCCAGTTCAGTTCAGTTCAACAACTCCATTCCTCTAAGCTTTGACTCTGGGCCAGGTTTGGGCGGGGTGCTAGACAAAGATAAATAAGCTCACAGTTTAGCAGAGAGAGACAAGACCCCCAGTAACAACCTAAATGCTAGGTGGTGTGTGATCAGGGCTATAAGAGGGAGGGGCAGCCTGGCCCGTGCGGGGCTCAGGGAAGGGAGTGGGTACAGATGTCTGGAAGGGGGAGGTGGGCAGGAGGGAATCAGGGCTGCTTCTTGGAGGAGGGGGTATCTGGTTGAGTGGGAAGAAAGGGATGGGCATTATGGCAGAGGAGTATGCATCCAGGCTGGGGGTAGTCTGTCTAGTTTGGGGAGTCAGGTTGGAAACGTGAGATATGAGGTTGGGCAGAGTATCTAGGAGTGACTGACCTAGCCCCAGCCCGGTCCTCAAGACAAGGGAAGTGGCTGGAATCTTTTGGGCAGAAGACATACTGATCACCTTCTGTGACCCAAGACCACAGTGGGCAATTCTCATCCCTTTAACTCACTAATTTACATGAGTCACAACAACTGTAAAAGTTGGTGTCTTATTTATACCCATTTTGCATATGCTCAATTCCCTAGTGCTCTTTCCCAGTATCAGCTCCAGAATTCCTTTATAGAAGGGGTTCCAGGGTAGGGAGTCATGTGTTGGGAGGTGGGGGTGATGCTGAGGGGATTAAAACTGCATCTTAGGGCAATGAGAATGAGAAAACATCAGCATCATCCATAGGGAAGAGTGGAGGGGAGGAGTCAAGCCAGCTGTTCCCTCTAGGACCCACCCTGAATTAATGGATGTCTGGAGGATCCATGAGCCTGCTGTAAGCATCCCCAGCACCCCCATCACACTCCCTCCTCACCCCCTCTGTGGGGCCTAAGCATGAAGGCACAACCAAGGGATGTTGGCAGACCCTCCTCCACCCTGGCAGCCCCACTCTGCAATCCCCGAGTGCTGCTGCTTCTGGGGATCCGGCGTTGATTCCCCACGTTATGGGCTGGTCATAACGAGGCTGGAGTTATGGGCGAGGAGGAGGCATTGCTCCGAAACCTTCATTTCCTGGAGCTTATGACTTCCCTGTGCGCTGCAGGAACTGGTCCCCTGACTCCATCAGGCAGTTTCAGGGCCCATCACAGCCCTGCAGGGATGCACAGGGGAGGGAGGGTTTGGGCGAGGCTGGGGCCATCACTAGGGGGGGTGTGGGGGGCGCAGGAGGTGGAAACAAGGGGAGATCCCTCAGTGTTCACAGGCACCCCCATGTGGTTCTCTCTCCTTCCCTGTATCCTCCCTCCCTCTCTTTCTTTCTTTCTTTCTTTCTTTCTTTCTTTCTTTCTTTCTTTCTTTCTTTCTTTCTTTCTTTCTTTCTTTCTTTCTTTCTTTCTTTTCTTTCTTCTTACTTTACTTTATTAGGTAGGTCTCGTAGTAGTACGTATACTATTACTATTCTACCTAACTAATTAGTTACGTTACGTTACTTAC